TGGATTTATTTATTTATTATGGGAGTCTGACAACCAATCAGAATACATTTCTTACACAGGAACAGGAAACAGAGGTGGGACTGAACAGGTTATAAAAAGCCCTTTCCTCAGCCCTTCTCTTCTTCTCCACTAACATTGAAGCATGTGATCACCTTTTCTATTCAGGACTCAAGCCATGTGGTCCTGTCCAACAATAAACCATCTTTCCAAGCAGCCTCCATGTCTCCAGTGTCTTTTTTCCCACTTGGAGCCGAACCCAGAAGGACATTTCTTTCATCAGTGGCAACCCCTCAAATATTGAAAAACTGCTATCATGTCACCTCTAATCCTTAGACTAGACCTACCCAATTACTGCAACTATTCATTGTTTTAGCCTCCAGCTTTCTAATCATCTTTGCTGCTCTTCTCTGCACCTTTCTAGAGTTTCAACATCTTTTTTATAGTATAGTAACCAAAACTAGACATACTATTCCAGGTGAGGGTTTCCAAAGCAGTATAAAGCAGTGTTAACACTTCAGATAACCTTCATACTATCCCTTTGTTCACGCAACTTAGAATGGCATTGTAAGTTCTCCTAAATTTCTTTTCTATTTCTTATGCAAGTAAGTTCTCTTCAATTCTTTTTAGATGGATTTACATAAGATTACACTATAATAAACATGTATCTGTGCTCCAGCCAGCTTCTATGTACAACTGATGTCATATTTGGCCGATTTACTGCTCTCTTAAGTCTCCTCTTTACTGTTTTATTATTGACATATAATTTATTGGGAGATGAAATTGGTTCTTTCCTCGGATGCTACAACTTTTAGTAAACATCTCAAGCGCAGATGGCAACAGCACAGAAAGACAGTCCTAGCAGCTTTGTAGAAGTGCGGTTTTGCAAGCTGGGACTGTTCTTAAAAAGCTCGCAAACCTAAAAATATGTATCATGCATCGGGACTGAAAAAGGGATAGCCGCATCTGATCTCTTCCACGCTCTTCAGCTGCACATTTGAAAGGAAAACCTGGCGTTTTTCTAGGGCGCCATTCCATTCGTGATCGCGTCCACCGTAATGGGCCTAAAACAGCGCCGGTTGTTTTCACTGCGGCGGTTGCGCATGCGCTGGCGAGAGCGCCCAGTGTACGAAGCCTCTGTGACTCTTGAGGGCGGGCGAACCGGGTTGAGGTGGTAGTGTGAGCGGCTGCTGCCATGTCGCTCTCTGTTCGTTTTCGGACTGCCTTTCCACGCTTGGTAAGGAGGGCGGCGGGAAAGGTTGGCGCCCTTCAAGGAGCAAGTGGGGCGCCGTTAGAGAGCTCGGGGGAGAATTTGAGCTACCAAGGGCATAGCGGCCTTCCTCTCCGGGAAGGGGAGGAGCGTGAGGTTCGGGCTGTTGTACCTCACTTCCTCGGCGGAGGAGAAACGAAGGGCGGGTGTCGGAGCAACGTTATTTTGCTATAGGCGGCGGGCCTAAGCCGGCAAGCGAGGGGAAGATGGATGCGGAGCGAACCACCTGTGCCTTTTATGTCGCCCCGAAAAACCAGTCCATCTTAGTTCTCAGATTCGTTCTGTTTATGCTAATTCGTGTGTGTCGGACTAGGTGATAGTGGTATTAGGACTGAAATTTGCAATCGTCATAATTGCCCGAACGGTTTTCCTACCTCTTGACTTCCACAAAGGTCCTCTCGCCTTAAAATACACCCGTCAGATTCAACTGAATCCGGAGGCTGAAGCCGTATGTCAGATTAACGCTGGCAGCATTTTTTTTTACATACATTTGAATTGGATAGTTACACGTATTTGAAACTGATATGGTCTGTTGTCCTATTGACAAGTAACATTGGTGTGGAAGATATACGAATATTGATTTTTAAAAGAATCCTGAATCCTCTAGGTCATTAGAAACATAAAACTCAAAAGGTTTACTGCACATTTTTCCTTGTAATAATGTCCCAAGATATTAAGCACTTCCTGATTCTATCTTTATTTTTTTAATAAATAGAAATAAAAGGGAGTAGTATACAAGGCAAAGAAGTGGACAGTATGTTTACATTTGTACACCATGCGTTATTTTTGTATTTGGTTGTTTTAGATGGACATTGCAGAAAACGTTTGCTACCCAGGACACAGTCAAAATTTCAAATAAGTCCATTAAACTACCAGTCATATCTTGTAGAATGCTTCCTTGATCAAAATTATGTCAAGGTCTGGCTAATAGCTACATCGATGTTATTTTTAAACATTCATATTAATTACTGAACATTTGCTGCTTGCATGTTTGTTGTATCTACTGCATATTGTGTCTTGCGTTGAGGCTATCAAAGCATAGATTATTTCATGGAACTGAAGAGGTAATTTAGGCCAATTAGGAGAAATTAGATGGTCTGAAGGCATTTATTTAATCTAAAAATCTTCTTGCCAGTTGTGCAATCTTTTCATAAATTTGGTAAACAAACAACAAAAACCTCCAGATCAAGCTGCCATCTCATTCATCATCTTGCTACACCCCACTCTTTGCTATCTTCTCTCATGGCTAAATATGCCATACTCTTGCAATTTCTCTCCATATGACATAACATTTTAGTCAGCAAATCATCCCATTGTCAGTGTCTGAAGTTACTCAGTTCCTCAGAATTTTTTTAAGTGGGGGGGGGGGTTTGCCTAGAACTAAAAACTGTGTTTCAGGATGCTTTATTCTGAGCACACTAAAATGGGTTAAACACAACTGAGCATAACTAAAAGTGGAATTCTTAACTTCCTGGGTTTGGAAATTATATTCTGTTGATATCTAAAATTGTATTTTTTTGCTATTATATTTTACAAGAATTCTTACCAAAACAAGTAAAGCACTTTTTCCTTCTGATTTGGATTTTGTTACCTAAACAAAACTCTTTACAATTTTCTCTGATAAATTTCATTCTAGTCATTCACTTTATTCCATTCTATTAATTTTAGCTTGTATCCCTAATGCGGCAAAGTTGTGTTGAATTTGATTTCAGGCTTCTAAGAAATTAGCATATCTTATATAATTGAGTGTTACAACTTCGATAAGCATTTCTTTTGTAAATATTAATAAAATGTTTAGAAAATCCAGGAGTGATCCTTGTGGCAACTGACTTTATATATCTTTTCAGTTAAGATGTACTGATTAGAAAGTCCTTAGATCTACTTCAGTTCCTTGCCTACTGCAGAAATGCACCTAAATATCTGACAGATGGCTTTTAGCCACCCATCTCCTAACCAGAGTCTTCCATAATTGAATCTCTCTTATCATTAGGAAATATTTCCAACCACCAATTCTGTCTTCTACTGCTTCATTATTTTTTCTATAAACATTTGCTGCTCCAATGAATTTGTAAGGAAACACTTTTTTATAATCAATCCATACCATATGTAAATTGGGATTTCAGCTGTTGTAATTCTCCAATATCATTTATCGATCAGATTTTGATTTTTTTTACTCCTTTTCCTTTTATTTTCTTTCTGTCCTACTGGAAAGATTTTCTTCTTCTAAATCTTAGATTTGTCTACTATTATGCTTGTAAATAATTTAAATAGGCAAGAAGGTATGTTATTGGCCTACTGATCCTGTGTTGTCCCTTTTGCTGGGTCTTTTTGAATCGTAAGTTTTGTCAGTTATTAATCAGTTACTAATGTCTCCTTTATGCAATACTTCATTAAGCTGATTAGCTATAACAATATCAGTTATCTTAGCTGAAAGCTATGCAATTGATCATTTGCAAAACAAAATGTCAACTTTTAAATCTTTTTCACTCAATTGTTAACTATTTCTGCTGTTAGTTTTTCTATTTAATTTTTATTAAATTCGTTTTCAAATTATTTTATCTCCATCATTTTTATTATAGTTTTTTGAGTTTCTCATAGATCTTTTCAAAACTGGATTGTTTTCTTTTTGTTTGGTTTTCCATTTTCAGAATTTGTCATTTATACTTTGGTAGAATTGCCACTGGTCTGATTGAAATAGTTGATTTTGTTTAAATTGAATGATTCATGCCTCGGGTTTCCCAGCTATTGCTTTTACTAGTTGCTTTATGATTTCCAAAGTTGCTTCAATTTTTCTGATGCAAAGTTTTTTTAAAAAAAAACTAAGCTTGTCTTGATCCTTACATTGTTTAATTTTTACTCTTTCATGTTCTTTAAATTACTTATATCTGATCTTATTTTATTTTTATTTTTGTTTATTTTTGTGATGTTCCACTTTGGTATTAAATATGATTTTGCTTTTGGTTTTCTAATTTTGATACCCAATTCTTCTGTAACCATCACTGTTCAATTGTAGACAAACTGATTGAGATGTTACTTTAATTCTTGCAAGAACCTTATTCATATCCTTCATGATTATTTTGCCGGTATTCATTTGTGGTTCACCAAGATACAAGATGTATTTTGCAGGTATTGCTGACTAGTAATGGTTATCCTGTATTCAATTTTTTACTTTTAGCTACCCAAACATACAAATTTACATTTGTCCCTATTGCAGTTTTTTGCTTACTGTTCCAATTTGTTAAAATCCTTCTATCAAGATTAGGACTCACAGATGAGCATTCTTACATGATTATTTGAGTCAGATGGCTATCTATTTAATTGTCAGAGTATCTGGTCCACATTTAACTAACTTGCTAATTAACTTACCATGTGACTACTTTGTTAAATGTTTGAAAAATTAAGGCTCAAGATTCTTAGAATCCTTTAGGAAAATTACATGGTCAAAAAGAGGTCACATTAGCCTAGCAAGATTGGTTCTGATTTCTGGGAATTACCACATTATTTTCAGGGTACTGTATCCTTTTATTATCTGCTCTAGAATCTTCTTAGATACTGAAATTGTACTGACTAGTCTATAGTTTATTGGAGGTTCCTCTCCTCTCCTTTCCTCTCGGGACATTTGCTATCATTTATTCAGCTGTCATTTCATCAGTTGCCAGAATATCTATAGCCATGATGGTGAATCTATGGTACACATGCCACAGGTGGCACGCGGAGCCATTTCTTAGGGCATGCAAGGCATTATCCAGTTGATTTTGGCCTTCATTTTTGGCCATTCAGGGAAGCTTCCAGAGGGCAAAAAACAACCCAACACGCAAACCGGAAGCTCAGGAATGTGGTTTGCGCATTGGGGCCTTTTTTCTTCCTCCGGAGGGAGAAAAACAGTCCTATGGACAACCTAGAAGTCGGAAAACAGGGTGTTTCTGGCCTCTGGAAGTCCTGCAGGGGGTGGGGGAGGCCATTTTCACACTCCCTAGGCTCCTAGAAAGCCCCTGGAGCCTGGGGAGGGGGAAAAACGGGTCCACCATGCCATCAAAAGTGGGCGGAGGGGGTCATTAATGCATGCACAGGGGGTCACGTGCACATGCACAGGATACACACGCGCCCCCTGCGTTCTTCCTGCTTTTGGCACTGGGTGGTAAAAAGGTTAGCCATCACTGATCTATACCTTCAAGAATACTTATAGCCAATGTATTTGGTCTGGAGTTTTAAACTCATCCAAAGAAATACTGTATTCTTTCAGCATGTTCCTATCAAACGTTTCCTCATTCTCATTCAGTTTTGTTCAAAAATGAACACCTTCCTTGTTTGCAATAATTCCCCAATCAATTTCATTAGGGAACTATTTTTGGACTGTTTTAGAAACATAACATTATTTTGAAGATAACAAATTTTATTATTTCAGAACTTGCAGTTTCTTTAGCATGCCAGCAAATATAGTAAATCAAGCTGCTAGATATTTCTATATTAAAGATTTGTAATCTAGTTCTCAGAGTTTTATTCATGTAAGCAGATTTATAGAAGGGGATGATTATAGTTGGTTATTATATCACAAAAGCACTGAAGATTCTGTTGATAGGATGCCTTTTTTAAGTTCCTGTAGAAAATGAGCCTTAGGCTACAGCAAAACGAAATTCAAGCTGTTTACTGTTCCAAATTTCCTGCAGGTACTTTCTTCTTTTGAATCATAGAGATTTAGATGCAGATAGAGGACAAATTTGAAACACCAATACATATTATTACAGATATTATTACTTACTTTTGCATTTAATACTGTATACTTTTGGTTTATATGTAGTGTAGAGAGATTATCAGCAGTACAGTAACTTAAAATAGAGCCATCTAATTCAGTAAGGATAAACATAATTTAAGATTGGTTCGATTTCTTAGCTGTAATTAGAAATACAAACTATTTACTTTATATGAAATATTTGTAGGTGACAAATATTCGCTGCCTTCATACATCAGCAGAATGCAGAAGTAGTGATGGAACTTTGTTTGTGGTAAGTAGTTTGCATAAATGATTATACAAAATGTTTAGTAAAATGGAAAAAATGTGGCTTTTATTTGTGTGCAATTTGTTAATGGTATTTGTAACATTACACTTCCTTTTTATTAGTAATAATAAAATTGCTATACATAGTATTGTAGGTAATTTTATATATAATTGTTGTACTTGGAAAATATATCAGCCTACTGAATTTTCACTTAGAAGAAAAGCTCATTTTGTTTACTGGAATATATTTCCAGCAAGCATATAGAGAATATTAACTCCCGAAGTGTAAATGTTTATCTGTTATATCCATACATGTCAGTTCTGACCCCCCCCCCCCTTCTCCGTCCAGGAATGAAAGCCAAAAGCCACGTAACTCAAAANACACACACACACACACACACATATGGAATATATTCCATGGAATATATATGCTTGAAATTCAGAAATATGGTAGCTAATCATCTCAATTCTATTCACACGCACAAAACTAGGTGCTTCTTGCATTTGTCCAGAAGATGGCAGTCAATAAATGCTATATCAGTATTTTTACTAGAACTAGTTAATTCTGCCTTAAACCTTTTAATTAAAGGATACATCATGATAAAATGTTTAATTGTTCCTTCATTTACAAACTGTTTCTCATCTTACATCAAAAGGTGATATTTACAGTATCACCTTCTGTATCCCATTAAAGTCAATCTTAGTTTCAGAAAAAGCAGAAATGGCACTTAAAACTGATCAACAGCCTTATTATTGTAGTTAAAGTGGGTCTATTTTATTATTCCTATAATTTCAATCAACTACTTTTACACACTACATTGCTTGGATGCTTTTGATCTTATCACTGCTTCTGAAGTCGTGAGGAATGTTCACCCAAATATCTTTCTTCAGGGAAACTGAGTCAAAATTGAGTTCACTGTGGACAGTGTTTACCTAATGAAACTGATATTTAAACATATTGTGCATGTCCATATGTCTGTCTGTCTATCTTTGTTGAAGTTATAGTTAAATGCTAGACTTCTGTACTAGGGGTAATCTTTGACTTATGACTGTTCATTTAATAATCATTTGAAATTACAACAGCCTTGGAAAAAGTTATTTATATCCTTGAAGTTATGACCATCATCACACCACTTCTGCAATCACAATTCGGGCATTTGGTAACCAGCTTGTATTTACAATTATTACAATGTCTTGCAATTATGTGATTGAAATTTGTAATCTTCTCAGCTGGCTTCCAAAAAGCAAAATCAATTGGGGAAGCAAATTTGTTAATAAGCATGTGATCCATTTAATGACTATGTGATTCAGTTCACGACTCCCCAAAAAAGTGTTTGTAAAATTCCGTCTGGTCACAAAACCATATTGCTTAACAACTGAAATTCCAGACCCAATTGTGGTCTTAAGTCAAGAGGTACCTTTATTCATAAGGTTATTTAATTTGATATACTTGTCAACTTATGTAAAGAAAAACATGTATAGCAATACTGGAACAATTAGCAATCTACTTTATTTCTAGCAAAATACTGGTAGATTGAATGTAAACATTGGGAAACACCTTTCAGTGATATGAGTTGATACTACATAGTACAAATAATTTTTATAATTTTATATCTGTAACAGTGGTGGGATTCAGCCACTTTGCACCACTTCGGGAGAACTGGTTGTTAACTTGCTGAGCCGTTTGGTGAACTGGTTGTTGGAAGAAATCATTAGGGCAGAGAACCGGTTGTTAAATTATTTGAATCCCACTACTGATCTGTAGGCTAATGTAGCATATTTTACTGGCACATCAGAAAGTATATTGATTGCATTATAAGCGATTATCATTCATTTTCAAATGTTTCATTTGGAAGAATTTCAAAAACTGATGGAATCAGGACACACTTTGGGAATTAAGAATGAAATGAAGGGACTGTTTGCATGTTGAAACCCTGCAAAAGACTACATTTTGGTAATATTATCTTTGATAATATAACCAAAGATATTCCTTTGATCCAATGATTAGTTAGGGATTTGTGAACTGGGTGCTAGCATAGAAGACTATTTTAAGGTGATCTCAACTAATGTTAGGTTTACAGTGTGTACTTCTGTTTCTATATTAAGGAAAAGGAAAACTGTGAAAAAATTACAAGAGTCTAGTTCAATGGTTCCCAACCTTTTTTTGGCCATGCCCCACCTAAGCATCTCTAAAATCCTGACTGCCCCCCACCACCTCTGACATATAATTCTTACTTTACTCAGAAAATGAACTCTACTCACCCGGAGGAAGCCTAAAAGGCCATTAACTTAATTTAAACAAGGTTCAATTTCCCCCCATTAAAAATCCAATTTCCCACCTATGGGGTGTGGGCCTCATGTTAGGAACCATTGTTCTAGTTCTAAATCTACTATCTTTCCAGATCAACATTAATAGGCCAAAATATATTTGCACAATGTTTGCACTGCAAGGCAAGATTTAAAAAGTTTCAATTTTCAATTTGGTTGCTGGGAATTTGGAATATGTGTGCTGTTATTACTAGATGGAAATTGAGAAAGTTTAACCTTCTGTACCATTTAGTTACAATAACATTATTTGAGAACTGGAACACTCTTTTCTATCNGGTACACAGTGATAAGAGATAGAAATACATTCATCCAGCAGAGCATTATGTGAAATCATATTTATATATACAGGTGCACTTTACTCTCTGTTCACAAAATGCACAGAAGCTGGTGCCATGCCACAGCAACTGCATAATGCTGTCAAGTTTCCATGACTATACCCATGTGTTAGAGAACCCTTAACTGTTTTAGTATTAGTACGTAACCCTTAAGCTGGCAGCATCCTTCAGCAATTTCCGAAGTATGTGAAGTCTGACATAGTTTACACTAGAGTGCATCAACCGTGACAACTTTTAAGATTTGTGGACAGAGAAAGGAACAGTGGTTTACAGATTTTTCTGTCAGGAATGAAGCCAGATGGCCATCCAAATGGGAACAATCCAGCACCTATTGGCTACTTGAGGCTGGTGTGCACACACCATTATTGTTTATGCCATTGGGCTCTCTCCTCTGCCATCATTGTTTCCCATCCTCTTGTAACCTGATTTGCTTCCTATTCCTAAAGTCAACCCTAATCTCCAATCTCCCCCATGAGGTCAGAGACATGCTTTGTAGCAAGCAATTCACTCTTATAAAGAAACCAGCACTCTTCTGCTCTAGGAGGAGGATGGCAAGAAGGCAGGTGGGTCTGCAGAGAGGTTAAAAAAGTGAAACTGCACTTCCAAAATTAAAACAGTGGTCATAAACTGTGGGATCGAAAATAAGAGCAGGGCTTTGATCCCAGAATGATGGCCAGTATCTTGACTTTTTGACAGTCCCAGCAGATGCCTTGTATGCATGTCTGGCTGGCTGAGACAAAACCTAATTTGGGCTTAAAAATCCATTTCCTTCTGGCTCAACCAAATTCTGCAGTAATAAGGAATAAACAAGCAGATTAAAAGTGGTCCCATAATGAATCTTTTCAGATAAGCATATACGATCTAAGGTTATGTATAAAAACATACATGTCTTTACACAACTTGTTGGTAAAATAATGACTGTGACTATCATTTGAAATCCTGTAGGCCTTCGGCACAATATTTATATAATCAAAAGAAATGACTGGAGATTTAAACTGGAATATATATATATATATATATATATATATATATATATANGTGTGACATCTATATAATATGCATATATAAAAACATTCGCGTATTTGAATGTAAAGCAATCGGTGAAGAACTTTCGGAGATTAGTGATTTTGAACAAACAACCATTACATTTTTATTTATTAAAACTTCATTTCCCAATATGCCTTCATAATCCAGTCCGCAAGTTCAAACTATCTTTATTCATATCTGTTACATCCATATCTCTTCACCCTTAGTTACAGAAAAATACAGTGTAGCCTTATTCATTCCATTTATATTCCATACCATTTACTTCTCTTGAATTTTAAATACCAGTGTCCATATAGCATGGTCATCATCTGCTTTTTTTAATTGACAAAATGTGGAAGGGAGGCAGGGAGGGAGTAAGCAGGAAAAGGTTTTGGGAAGCTTGCCTTTTTTTTTGCAAGGGATGGTTTCCCAAAGTCTAGAGAGGTAGGACAGTTTTGCAGTCTCCTTGCTTGCCAGCTAATCAGGGCCAGCAGACAAAAAGCAGCTGTTATTTTAGGGATAAAGAAAATGGCACTGCTTCCATGAATCATTGGGATCAGTGTTGCAGGGTATTGTGGGAGGGGGGGGGGAGACTTGGCAGGAGAGGGCGCAGCAGAATCCCCCTGGTCTGTCGATTGTGGGAGCGCTGCATCTGATGTAACTTTGAAGAAACAGGTTCATATGTAGTTTTGGGGCGTCAGTCGTTGTTTGAATAGTCGTCAAATGGCCTGTTTCTTGTACTGTAATATTTGACTAGGTACAATAATGTTTATAGCTTTAGGTGATCAATTAAACAACCTTCAAGTGTATAGGTTATCATAAACTTTTATTTTTTAATTCTGCATCCACCTACTGCAACATTCTTTTTATTTACTTTCAGTTTGCTTGCATAATAAACATATAAGTTGAAACAACGATCACTATTACTACACCTTTTCCATATCCCATGTGATATAATTAAATAGCATGATGCAACATTTTATTTCTGAAATTACTAAGTAGAGTGATGCATAGATGGTTCCAGTAATTCAGCTGCTAGTACAGCTTTTCATATCTTCATGAGATGAATCTCTCCTCATGAAGTATCATAATTATTAAGATACAGACGCTATATTTTTTCTATATCTAACCATATTTTCATTATTTTATTGTAATTTGTACAGCACAGAGATACTCCTGAAAACAACCCAAGTACCCCATTTGATTTCACTCCTGAAAACTATAAGGTATATTTCCTTTATTTTGTTATTAAATTACTTGGATTTTATGCCATTTTAGTCCCTTTTTGATAACCTTTAATATTTTGATGGGCGAAATGCTGTATTTCTATTTCAATTAAATTGGTGGTTGTAATATTTATTTTCTTTCATGATAGAGGATAGATGGAATAGTAAGTAATTACCCAGAAGGACATAAATCTTCAGCAGTAATCCCAGTCCTGGATTTAGCTCAAAGGCAACATGGATGGTTACCTATATCAGCTATGAATAAGGTACTTAACTTTAATCTGATATTTTAGCATATGTATAACAACTATATTAACACAAAATAATTTTAATATTCATTAGGTACCTCTCTTAAAACAAATAATTTAGAATGTTGTCAGATCACATAAAGAAGTTTTTCAATCTTAAAAATATTCAGATGTTACAGTATTTACTGACTTCAGATTACACTATGTGCAATAATTTTGTGAGTTATAATTTAAGAAAATTAAGACATTGCAAGATTGTTATTGCTTCTGCTAAAAGTACCAATATATGTAAATATATCATTCAAATAAAAATGTTTTCTCCTATTTATAGGTTGCTGAGATTCTACAAATGCCTCCTATGAGAGTTTATGAAGTAGCAACATTTTATACAATGTTTAATCGTAAGGCTGTTGGGAAATATCATATTCAAATCTGCACTACCACACCTTGCATGCTTCAAGATTCAGATAGTATATTAGAAGCCATTCAGAAGAAGCTTGGTATGAAACAACACTTAATTTACCTGTATCATGAGTCTGTTTATATTGTATTGACTTTTCTTATGTAATCCAATTTATATTTGTATTCTGAAAAGCATATTTGCAAAGAAACTTGGTCATGACAGTGTTACCCTTGTATCCTGGAGAGCTGGACAACAGTCTTTTTCTTTAGCTGATGATGATGGAGCTGCATAGCGTGAAAGGCTGGTTTATAGCTAAGAAAAAGGGGGAAAGGAAATAAGAGCCTGAAAAAACAGATTGAAGGAAACTAAACAAGGAGAGAAGCAACCTAAAACTAAGGAGAAATTTCCTGACAGAACAATCAGTGGAACAACTTGCCTCCAGAAGTTGTGGGTGCTCCAACACTGGAAATGTTTAAAAAGAGGTTGGAGAACCATTTGTCTGAAATGGTATAAGGGTTGGACTAGAAGACCTCCAAGGTCCCTTCTATTCTATTCTATTTTAACTTTTTGTGATGTGAGATCCCTTAAGGGTCAAGATGCATACCTTTAAGCTTGCTGAAATTTAAGATGCTATTTCATTCTTCCCCCAGCCCACAAAATAGTTTCATGTGAAGTTTATGAAATAAAATTAATACCTTCATTTAAGATAACATTTAGCTCATTGTATTATCTAACAGCCAGCTATATACCCATACATTCCTATAAACAGGATTGCAACTCTAGTGGCGAGAACAGATTTGGAAACATGCTAATTTAATACAGTAAATCCAATACTGAATTATACAAACTGCTATAACATTGACTGTGTTGGGACAAATAGCCATAACGTTTTCATGTTTACAGTTTGCTTTATTATAAATCAAACTAATTTGTCTTGCCTCAGGTATAAAAGTTGGGGAAACTACGTCTGATAAACTTTTCACTTTATCTGAAGTTGAATGTCTGGGAGCTTGTGTAAATGCACCAATGGTACAAATAAATGACAACTATTATGTAAGTAGAAATAAGCCTTTAGATCTTTCAGTGTATCCATTTTGTATACGCTTGTTGCCTGGAAAAATTAAATTAGCATAAACAGCAAGAGTTTCTATCGTAGTATGGGTTTTCATATGATATTCTAATGAACAGATTTTCTAAAATTAATTTTATATGAATTAGATCATGGTTCTCAATATTTTATTTGTTGTTCCATCATGATACGAATATGGCTATGCTGTGTGCCAAGCATAGAACAATATATTTTCTGCAAGATCTAATCTAGGTCAGTCACTGGGACCCAAGATTTAGTCTTCCAAGCTTTTGAACTTAGATTGGAGCCCATCCTCAGGGAACTTCTCTCTACCGGAACGTGTCCTTTGGGCTATTCTATGTATTGTATTTATGTGGTGCATTCCTATTGATTGATTGGTGTGTTGATGTGCTGTCAAATCCTTGGCTCCTAATTACCTGGTAAGCTGGTGGTAAATCAGTACTCCTGTTTACTGAGAAGGGGCCTGTTTCCCAGACTTCAATAATTTCCCTAGCTTTCTTTCTACCTGCACAGTCAACAATTAGTAACTGTTAAATTGAATATAGTCCTTTTTCATTGCTATGTGAGGCTATCAATGAGTTTGACTCAACTAGTCTGACCATTTACTTGTGTTCTTGCAATATGGTTGTTAGATTCCTCCCTGTCCATCCTACATAGTCATGGGGCAATCCATTCAGGGAATCCAATAGATTACATTAGAAGTATCTCCCACCTCCAACTTATCTTTGCAATGCATGATTTGTCCCCGTATGGTTGCCTCTGGGCATTATGCGATGCCCACTTGCAGATATCGGAAGCTGCGTTCTACAGCTTTGAAATGTTTTCGATATATGGCAGGGTGTGCCATATATTGGTCTTATGCCTTCTTTCTTCATTTCGTTGTGTGTTGCACAGGTATCTTGTAATAAATGCTTCTGAGTACCCATTCTGCCTGAATTGTTCACATAGGTACCTTCTCTCCAGTTATTTAGCTTGCTTTGTACTACAGTGAGTTCTCACCCTGCCATTTGGTGTTCTGAGGCAACTCTTTGTGACAATGTATGGTTACTGTTGAAATTAAGAATATGTGGAGTGTTGGTAGCCTTGAGATAAACCGTGGTTTGTAGGCTTCCATCTTCCTGCCTATTGACAAGCATATCTAAAAATGGTAATTGTCTATTTCTTCCTCCATTATGAATTATATGTCTAGAAAGATGGAGTTCAGTAGAATATGAAAGTCTTTTCAGTGCATTTCTTTTGTTGATGACAAACTTGTTGCCCATGTGGTGGCAGCAAAATTTAGATGTGTAGTTTTGAAATGCATGATGTTCTAGTTCGTACAGGACAGTTTCTGCAATGACTCCTGACACTGGGGATCCTATGGGTGTCCCTTCTTTTTGCTCATACATTTCCCTTTTGAATATCAAGAAGGTATGCTGGCGGTACTTGAGTAACTTCATGATTAGTGTCCTGGTTAGATTGTTTTGATCTGATTTTTAAAATCTATTATTTGTATGCTAAGTGAGGAGGGGTAGATGTAAATAAGTATGGTCAGAGGAGACCATAATCTTATCAAGAGTCACATTTAAGCCTTGTAGTTTTGGCAGCATAAGTAAACAACAGCCAATTGCAAGCCATCAACACACCAACCAACCAATAGGAAGGCACATATAATAGCCAAAAGACACATTTTGGTGAGAGAACCATAATTATTTTTTAAAGCTTTAACTGATTTAAAAAATAAATTGTCTCAAAGAAGGATTTTTGCTTTTCCATCATTATCAACAATCACTTTTATTTGTGGCAAAAACATAAATAATGGAATTATAAGAAACACCTATAATGCACTCAAATAAAATAAACAAATCCCCCAAATAGTATCAAAACTAAAATAAAGTTAGATACCTCTTCAAGAAACTGAGCAAGCAAAATGCTTGCAATTCTGTCCAGTTGTCTATTATAGCCAGTTCCCTATTCCTTTTTACTGACTGGCTATATATACCTAAGTTACAGACCTATCTAGAAGAGAGGAAGGTAAGACAAAATAACGCAGCTTGGATTCTTATTAGTTTTCTTATTAGTCTTCAACATAGCAGAAAGGCTACCAGAGGAAGCTTAGAAGTCGACCCAACAAATTTCATTGCCTAATAATAGCAAGATTGCCTCCATGATGAGCAAAGTATACCTTAACAGTCTGGTTGAGCCTAACATTTCTATTGCTAAACAAAACAGTTAAGGGGGGTTTGTCCCATTTTACGACTTACTTGCCACAGTATTAAATGAATCATTGCACTTTTGAAGTTAGTAACACTGTTGTAAAGTGAGGGTGGCTTCCCCATTGACTTTACTTCTCCCCAGAACACTACAGATATCATAAATATGAACCAGCATCCAAATTTTGATCACATGTACATGGGGATGCTACAATGGTTATAATAGTAACTTCGAATGGTCACTAAACAAAATGTGGTAAGTCAAGGATTACCTGTATAACATAATTCACACCTAAACTCTTGGCACTGAATGCAAATTGGTCATTGGTGCCATTGGCTTTCTGACTGGGCAGGAATATATAGGTAATATGCCTGTACTGATTGAAAACACAATGGGAACGAATTATTATGAATATGGCTCCTGCAGGAGAACATATTAATCTGTCAGGTTTTTTTTGTCAAAAGAGATTTTGTCCATTATGAAACCATTATCTTTAACTGAATTGTTTCCAATTGGCATGTGTGTCCTTATGCATATTTATCTGAATAAATTAATTACAAGATGATGCATTATAAAGGCTTTTATCCTGGCAACTTGAAATGTATCCATACCAGTGTAAAACTCTTACTCCTCATTCAGCTGGCAAGTTTGCTTGTGTACCCCCTATATTTCTTTTGTGCACTAAATCAAAGTTTTTTGAATTGTATCCTTGTTCTCACTAGGGTTTCATGAGAACTTGATGTGGTTCCTTGAAAGATTTAAGGGTGGGGGGGGGTTCATAGTTAATGTTTTCTTACTAGAGCATTACCTCTTGTTGGCAGTGGCAGATTTTTTTAAATGTAAATTGTTTCCATAACTTGAAAAAGCTTGAAAATCCCTGTGCTAAATCACATGTAGTGTTCAATGAGAGTATGATTTTTTTACTATGTGTGGAATTCAACTCAATTGACATAAACATAGACAGATTTCAGTATTTTCCTTTTTTGACTTTAGTTGGAAAATTAAGAAATCTATCATACTCAGGTAATTTTGCAAATATTCTATTGCTAATATAATAACTCATCATTAACTATGCATTTGACACAGAAAATACAATATGCATATATATTTAATCTTAATGTATAGTTTTTAGATTATGTTCAGAGTATCACAGAAAGTCACCATTGAAAGATTAGACCATATAAATAAGTATAAGATAGTCTATTAACTTCTGAAGTACAATTATTGTAGTCTTCTGTAGCAAAAGAAAGATCTATAACATATTAAATACAATAAACATACTCATAGATGAAGAAAATGTCATATTTAATTTGTGGAATATTGTTTTCATTTAATTTTACAGGAAGATCTTACAACAAAAGATATTGAAAACATAATTGATGAACTGAAAGCTGGAAATGTTCCAAAACCTGGACCAAGGTATATTATTTGCATAATAAAATACCATAGAAAGCAAGACAAAAAACCTACTAAAACAATCTTATAGAACAGTGGCCTCCAACCTTTTGGGCACTGGTTCTACGGACCAGAGGGGCTGTGGTTTTGAATCCTGTGGATGGGGCTTCGCTTGTTTGCATGTGTTGTAGCCTGCCAGTGGCCAGCAGAGCTGGTGGCAGACTCAGTGAGGAGGTTAGGGAAGAACATGGGCCAGTCCTGGAGTCTGGGGAAGGCTCCAATGAGTGTTCTGCGTTGGAGGCAGAGATGGAGCCAGGGCCATCCGACAGTTATCAATGGGGCAGAAGAACAGCTGGAGTCTGTTCCCGATGTGCTCATGCGCAGAGTTGCCAGGAGAAGGGAACAGTTAAGGAACAAAAGGCCAACTCAGGAGTAAAGGCACAGGTGGATGGTGAATGGCCCCTCCCATAGGGAATAAAGAGGAGCAAAAGGGGAGTGGAGTTTGCAGGAGACAATTTGTTTAATTAGAGTGAAGATGTGTTCGTAACTTTCAGAGACTCCTTGCCTAGCATTTTTTTGTACAGCGTTGCATCTCCAAGCCTGATAAGATCTGTGGTTGTAAATTCAACCTTGAAAGACTGTTTGCCTGGACTTTGCTGGATGTGAATAAGAGGAACTCACATTATCTTAATAAAAAGGGGTTTTGTAAGGACAAGGAGTCTGCTTTGTGATTTGGTGAAGCCTATGTCAGAACTGCATGGCCCTTTTCTGGTATGGTGCAGCCCGGTACCAATCCATGGCCTGGGGGTACTGTAGAAAGTCCTTAGGTATATATTTCACTATGAAATTAAATATAAAATCTTATTACCATGACATTTTGCTTTTTATGTTCCATGCTATGGTGGCCTACAAGAAGCTGCTTCTTAATTTTTAAGAAGCAGAGAAAGATGTTTGTAGGCATTTTTGAGAAGTAATAGCGAGTATTTGCCATATTTTATTGGAAATTGATTTTTTTTATATATGAAATATTTTTCTCATTTCTAAATATGATAACAGTCAAGAGTTTAATTTAGTAGTCCTATATCCCCAAATTTATTTCAGATGTTATATGACCTTTCTAAGCAAAGTTTCAGCCAACAATTGTCAATGTATTTTGATGTTGTATAGCAGGGCTGTCAAACTTGTGGCCCTGATGCATCACGCACTAGCTACTCCCATGCCTGGTTTAGCGAAGGGGGGGGAAGTCCCTATATGTCACGTGACGCTGCTATGATGATGTGAGTTTGACACCCTTGTTGTATAGGATAAAGTGTTTGGTAGGTATATTGAACTGTGCATCACTGATTTGTGATGATCATTTGGTTAATTTTCATCAAATTCTGCTTTTTGAAATGTCAGGGTTTTTTAGTTGTTGAAAAACCATTTTCTTCTTATTTGATGTTAATGTTGTTCCTTTTAAGAACAAAGATGTGTCTATAAGAAATGTGGGAAAGTATTCAAGATGGAAAAAGAAAATGATACTCTTATTAGGTAGTCATAGATTCTAATCTTGTTCAGAGTTACTCTTAAGTAATTCTTACTAATTTCAGTGGAAGTACACTCAAGCAAACATATACTTCAGTGCGCAGGCAGTCCTCAATTTATGACAAATTGCTGAAAAATCATTTGAAGTTACAATGGACTTGTCAAGGATACTTATGACCCAGTTTTAATGGCCAGCCCCCTTCTCCAGGTTCACATGGCCATATTTTGGGCAGTTAGTAACTGGCCCACACTTGCAGCTTCCTGCAGTCACATTTGCTTGCATTTACAACTGACATTTATTTCTGGTTTTCCATAAAACTGGCTCATTGTCAACAGTTGGTTCACTGAGGGACTTGGTGGTTACTTATCAATTGCTCCAAAAAAGGTTGTAAAATTAGGTTGGTCATGTGGTGACCCACTTTATAACTATCATGACTTGCAGCCATAATGGGCAAGCTTCATTACAACCATTAAGTTCAACGTTATCTGTAATCAGAAATAATGTGTACATTTGGCAACTAAAACCCTCTCACCCCTGCATTTCTATTTCTTTCCATCACATTCTATCTTGTATTGCAGTGTTTTTCAACCTTGGCAACTTGAAGATGTCCGGACTTCAACTCCCAGAATTCCCCAGCCAGCGAATGCTGGCTGGGGAATTCTGGGAGT